CGCGAACACGACAAGACAGAACGTTATGCACGAGTCGAGAACGACCATAGCTTATCCCGTGCACTCACAACAGAAAACAAACACGCAGAGCATGCATGTCCGAATCCCGACACAAAACCGAAACCAAACTAGCGCTAGACAGATGTGCCGTGATTCAAACACCACGCCCGCACATGTAACAAGGCACCTGACATCGACGGAGGAAATGTAGGAATTAGGTTAAACTGTGAAATGTATGATGATAATTGCAAATAAATATTCCAATATTCCAAGAAATATTACAGCAGTTCGTCTTTCGAGTCGACTTGCAAAATCCGCGATGAGACTGAGCTCGAAATCTCGAATAGCTTCCGCGTCAGTGACTTTGTTTTTATTGTGCGAAATCGCTGTCAATCAAAAGGAGATGCAGCCCTCCAATCATCACGCAGACGCCCGGACTCCAGGCCAGCCCACTTCCCTATTCACCCCAGAGACGCTGAGCGTCCGTGGGCGGGACATAATCGCAGCATTTATCCAATGACCGTCTAGTTTCGAAGCACTGAAAAAAACTGTTCAAAGCAGCTCCATTGAAGTCAATGGACGCTGAGCTTCAACGGGGAAATGCCATAGGGAAATGCACGGTGACGCGCTACGGGAATGTATGAGTCAACGAACTCGTCTTTGAGATGACCGTGTTCTAACGCATTTTTAGTCAATAAAGTGTTAACACAATAGTACACATTTGACCATTAATTTTTTGACATTATAGGGGAAGCTGAGCTTCCCTTGCAGTCTTAAAGAAATCGCCACTGGTCAGCACTCGCTGGATGGATGGCCTATATCAGTGGCTCTCAAACGATGGGTCGCAGGTCTCTTCTGAGAAAGTCAAGGACAGCAGGGGAAAGAAAAACATTCTATTTGTAAATAATACATCTAACCGTATAATCATGCACAGGATTGATGTTGTTGCATCAACGATGCATCCAATCAAAGCTAACATGGACAGGTGTGACACGCCCTTAACCACAAAAGCCATTAATAAAGGTAAAATGCTGATACGACCTAGAATATGTCATAGTATTTATTTAAAAAGTAAACAAAATGTCCTTGAAATCAAAATGTGACATTATAATAATTAATATTAATATAATTCATATTGTTTTTTTATAATATATTTTAAAATATATTATTTTATATTAACAAAATATAGTTATAACAGGCAGAGGCAGAGAAAGTCATAAAAGTCACGATGAAACGGAAGTAGCGATAGATATTTTCTTCCATATTGTTATTACCGAGTGTAACAGATTATTGAAAAAAAAGTAGGGGGGGGGGACTTGGTTTCATGTGTCAGTTATTGATTGCATGTTGAAATATGGGGGAATGAACATGAGCTTGCGGAGACTAAATGATTGGAGAAGTCCTGCATAAGTCACAAGAGAGAACTATTTTATATTTTGATTAAACATTAGGTCAATAAATAAATAAATGAATAAATAAAAAATCAAGAGTAGCGTCAGTTCTGGCTGGTCACGTTAGTCAAGCCAACGCTATCTCACGACCAATTCGTACGAATTCGTACGAGTGATTAAAAGGTGGCTAATTCGTACTAATTCATACGACCTCACTCGTACGAATTTGTACGATTTGTCTAAACCCACGTGATGGGTAGGTTTAGGGGCGGGGTCAGGGGTAGGTCATTCGTACGAATTCATACGAATTTGGTAACTCGTAAAGTCAAGCTCGCATCAGGTGACTCTCGGCTGATCCACGTCTATCTATAGGAATGCGACGCCAATCACTGTCTTTATATATAAGCTCCTTCAGTATTATCAGCAGCTATCGCGTTCTCAGGAGCTTATCAGGGCCGTGCACAGGGGGGTGGCCCGGTGGCTAGAGCCACTGCCCTTCTGCCCTCATCAGCTGAGGTGCCCCTCTCGCCCCCCTCCCTAACCCTCCAGAGGATTTCCATAAAAACGTTATGTTATCGCTCCAGAATTTTCGCACGTTAAAAAATAAATACGACCTCACGTTATGTCAATCACACTTGCACACTGCCTCCGAAACTTTCGTCCGTCATAAAAAAAATCTAATCGGGTAAAAATCTAATCGAACCGTAGCCAGCAGTTTGAATGGTGTTTTGACAATTCAGAGCCAACGAATCACGAATACGAAAAAACGCTGTGTGCAATGGCCTTTATTCTGTATTTTTTTCTGTGCGTGCACACACACACACACACAAACACACACAACCCGACGCGTACAGCCCTGCACATAGACAGAGCAGCGCGCAAGGACTGAACTGAGCTCTCTTTCGCGTCTGAATGGACAAATACACACAACATTATGTCTAAATGTCCGTTTTGGAGAGTATTCACTTAAACGCAGTCAGTTATGTCTTTACAGAACGTACAGTTGTGAGAATATCGGTTGTGCATCAGTGCAATTGGATCTGCACACTCGGTCTTAAAGTGACAGTGCGTAATAAACCTAATGCCGTCTGTGCACTTAATATTAATCAAACAACAAAATAAAAAGAGAAAAGCATTCACTGCTCTTTAATAGCTTTAATAAGGATTAATTATATTTAATTCATACAAATAAATATGTCTGCTTGAAAGAATAAAGAATGATGTATGTAAGACTTTAATTTTAAGATATTATTTTATGTCACAGTGCTAAATATGTGTCTGTATTGCATGTTCAAACTTTAAAAATTATTAATATTATCAGGTTAATAGATGTTTTCTACGGGAATATATAATGGGTTTGGACGTTTTAGAGAAATTCTAAATTAATGCATTACAATTTAAATTTAAAACCTTATTGTATTTCGTCAACTAAAACAATTCAGATGACTAAAATATGACTAAAACTAAATGGCATTTTAGTCAAAAGTTCAAAATTTGCTGTCAAAATTAACACTGATCTAAATGAATAGTACCTTAGTATATTAGCTACTGTAGGTTACAATGGGGCTAAAGGCACACATAACATTTGCTTTTCACATATGGGGGGGGGGGGTCACCATCGTGTATGTTGTCAGTCAAACTCCTTATAGTGCCCCCTTTTTTGGTTTAAGCCACTGCCCTTCAAAATGTCTGTGCACGGCCCTGGAGCTTATTACCCTCCTCCATCCCCAGCTCCTCTCGTCCAGTCAGGATTTGGCATTCTGAGTGCCCTTGAATCAGAATAAATTCTCTAATTATGTTGTACTTTAAAATCTTGAATTAATGATATCTACATACATTCATGTTGGTTCTGTTCTGTTTACCCTAAGGGGGGTTATTGCTGCTCTTATCCATGCTAGGCTGCAGTTCCTCGCCCAGAACAGAACCACACCGCCAATCCTAACTGTATGCTAATTGTCAATCGTATTTGACGATAGTGGTCCTGACAGAACTAAAACATTTGCATGGATGATTTGTTCACTGTAAAAACAATAACATGCATTTAGAAAATATAAAAACAGAATAGGGTGGAATTTCATTTAATGCCGACCAAAGTGATTTCATTGATTTATATCTTTTCATTGCCATATATGATTGATACTGTTGTTTTTGTTAATATGTTAAAATAGAATGTATTTTTATATTTTCACTTGAATTCTAGTAAAAGTGTCACTGATTCTGTTGTGTTTGTGTCATTTTTTTTATATACTGTATATCTAAATAGTTTTTATTAATCAGTTTTAGTTTATTTAGTTTAAGTATCACGATTAATCATCTAATATTAAATATTTGTATATATATATATGTGTGTGTGTGTGTGTGTGTGTGTGTGTGTGTGTGTGTGTGTGTGTGTGTGTGTGTGTGTGTGTGTGTGTGTGTGTGTGTGTGTGTGTGTGTGTGAGTGTGTAAATTACAAACTTTTATGTTAGATGCGATTAATCGATTTGACAGCACTCGTTTTTAGTACTTTGAGTTAAACTAAAGGAAAATGAGAAATTTTGCTTTGGCAGCTAGCTGAAAAAAAATAAAAAAAATAAAAAGTTTCTCTTTTATTGGTTTTATTTTAATTCAGTTAACATTTTGTTTCAAGTAAAAAAATTGTTGTTATGGTTTTAGCTAATAATAAATACCTTAATGCCAACTTTAAACTTTAAAAATGGCAAAGACTAAGATACGTTTTATATAGAATAACGGGCGCTGATGAATCATGCACAATAAGAGCGGCAACATGCATTACAAAAAGTAAACAGTGTCAAATACATTTCATGTTCCTTTAAAACTCTCTTACAGTATGTGTTTGTGGTATTTGTGGGCACTAAACATGCTCTTTGTTGCAGTCTGTAGCTGTGCTGGTGGACGTGGGGTCAGCAGGAGTAAGTCTAAGACTCGATTACTGTAGATTACGGGCCCAATACTCACCCGCAGCATTGAGAAGCATAAACAGAGACTCTCTCTCTTTCCCTGACAGCAGGAATGCTTCACAAAACTAGTTTGGACTGGCTCCAGGTCTGCTCTCTATCCAGGGACCAATGGCCAAAGGAAGACGAGGGGAGTTTTCAGGTCAGGAAACCCGCTTGAAAACAGTCATTGTCTTTTTGTAATTCCCAAATTTGGTGTAGAAATTACACATTTTAACCGTTAAATAAGTAAATATGGCCAGTTTTGATTTCAGAGCAGTTCGCAACCTCTTAATAAGGATGCTGAAATAAATATGACACTTACGTGTAAATAAAAATAAATACATGTCACACTCGAATAAGATTAAACATCTTTACTTGAACCGAAATACAGTGAAGAATTGTTCTCGTTTGTCGTGGAAGACAGAATGTCTGTTTACAGATCTAATGACATTGACGATGCATACAAATATAACATGGTCATGTCATCAGCCAGATGTGTTTAACAGAGTTATGGACTGAATAATGGACTCTGAAGCATTATGTACAGTTTGTACAATAATAGCCGTTTCCATTGCATGACACTTTAAATGCAACGTCTTCCTAAGAATGACATTTAAGATCAAGCATATCTAAGAGAGAACAGAACTACAGGAATTATCATGTAAAATGCTTTATCTTTTTTTTTAAATGAACATCATTCAGAAAGCCCAACAGCTTGTTTTCGTCGTCCACGATAATGTTACACTCCTAGTCTTGGATCATCTTGATGTCTTTGTGCTTCTGCCAAAAGGATTCTCTCTCTTTCTTTCCCTCTCTCTCTCTCTCTCTCCGACCACACTGTTCATTGTTCTTCCGAAGAACGTTTAAACCTCCTGAGGGGGAAATGTTCGTGATGAGGGCGTGCTTGTTCGCAGAGCTCAATGTAGCGCTGCATCATGTCAAAGCACACCGGCATCTCCGTGGCTCTCCAGATTAAATATTCCTCCCTCCCGTTCATCCCTTCCAACTTTGATGGGCAAACGCTGCCCGACACTCGCCAACCCTTTCCCAACAAGTATACAAAGCAATGTCAAACCAACATTTTGTTTGTGCAATGGCAACATTTTGTTTATGAGAATAGAACAACAATAAAACTTAAAGCAACAACTAAAAAAAACAGTCTCAGCCAAAAATGAAAAACAAACAAAAAAAAGTACAATAGTGCAATTTTTCAGATTCATGAGTCATGACCCTCTTCTCCTCCTCGGGCTTGTCCGTGTGGTTTTTCCAAGGACAGTTAGTGGCGGCCCCGTCTCGTGTTGCTCCTGCCTGGGTTTGCTCGGCTCTGCTCACGCAAAAGCTGGTCCCAGCGCTGGCAAACACATAAAACATTAGTCACTTCCCATTGCCCTCTGCATCAGGGGCCTCTTTCCATACGCTCATTCAAAGGCTCTACAGTGTTATATTTTATGTCAGCTGGTCAAAGGCATAGAACCCAGAAATGAACAATACTTTACTCCATGCCAAAGTTTGCAGAATAAAAACATATGTCCTTCCTATAGAGATTATGGCCAAAAAAAAAAAGAAAAAGAAAAAAAAAGAATCTATATATATATATATATATATATATATACACATATAATTAACTATGTACTGTATATATATATATACACTACCATTCAAAAGTTTGGGGTAGGTACGATTTTAAATACTTTTAAAAGAATTCTCTTCTGCTAACCATGGCTGCGCTTATTTGATTAAAAATACAACAAAAATCAGTTATAGTATTAAATATTATTCCAGTGTAAATCAGCTGTTTTCTGTGTGAATATATAGTAAAGTGTAATTTATTCCTGTGATCAAAGCTGAATTTTCAGCATCACCAGTGTCAGTGTCTTCAGTGTCAAATGATCCTTCACAAATCAGTATAATATGAGGATTTGATGCTCAAGAAACATTTATTATTATTATCAATGTTGAAACAGTTGTTGGTCTGTCAGTTGTACAGTTTTTTTTTTTTAGGATTCTTTGATGAATAGGAAGTTCAAAAGACTTTTGTAACATTATAAATGTCTTTACTGTCACTTTCGATCAAATTAATTATTCCTTGATAAATAAAAGTATTGATTTCTTTCCTCCAAAAAATAAAAATAAAATTCTCACTGACCCCAAACTTTTGAACGGTAGTGTATATTTGGACACTTAAAAATATATAAATGTTGTTATATTAGATTCACATAAAGAAGTTTGTTATTTTTGAATTGAAAAAAAAATAAATGTGTTTATAATTTTCAAAAAGAAGTCAAAGTTTGCAGAAGAAAAATATATTTACATGCTAGATATTATGTCCACAAAAACTGCATATACGTAATACTTTTTTGTATGTAGGTATGTATTTTTATGTATGTATGCATATGTATTAATTATATACAGTCAAGAAATATATATATATATATATATACAGTATATTTGAATACTTTTCAAAATGAAATCAAAGATTGCAGAAGAAAAACATTTCCTTTCTAAATTTTATTTAGAACATATAGTATTTGGACACTTAAAATATATTATAGTGTATTTATTATATAATAAATTATATTATATAACAAATAAGATTGTTAGGTTTGAAATTATAAAAGTATTTGGATATTTTCTGGTTGTGAAATCTGTGGTTACTTTCTTAAGATACTTGAGTGACCTTGAGGAGAACTGACTTCACTCATCCACTAAAAATCACCTTCAGGCCGGTTGATTAAAATGTATTGAGCAAAACTGCTTTATAAAAGTATCATCAAGCATCATTTGATTGCAGGCTCTACTTGATTTGATATTTTGCATGTCATACAATCTGACATTTAGATATTTCAAACTTAAGTATCTCAATACTTTTTGGACCGCTCTGTAATGCGGCATATGTTACTTCCATGCGTTCATACTGTACCTTCACTTTCCGTCCCATTTTGTCTTTCCACTTCTGTGCAATGGATCCATCAATGAGCAGCAGTCTGTTGGAGAAATGATTGATTATGAGAGCAAGAATATAATCCACAATATCCGTTCAATCACATCAATCAAGCTTTACCTGGACCGTTCCTCGTTTTCATAACCCATGATGATGTATTCCTCATTGGCTAGTAGTGGAGGACACAGACACACAGAGTTATAATAAAGAGTGACGGTGTCTCGAGGGATGTTGACCAGAGAAGACTTCAGAACGTCTTTGACCTCCACGATGGCGCTCAGGTCATGGTTTCTAGTCTTTATTTCTTTCACTCTTGCCCGGATGACTGCAAAGAGAAACAGTGAAAGCGTGTCCAGAAATACAAAGCAGTTTGAGACTTTCGAGAACTTTACACAAGGAACAATTGCAAAAATACCATCCAGGCCTTACCATAATTGTAATTGTTCTTTGAATATGTCTTTTGACCAAGTCTCACAGACTTGCATTTGCACCGATCTGTAAAAGTAAAGGTATTATATATATATATATATATATATATATATATGTTCAAATTAATTTTATATCTAAAGTGCAAAATAGACTATAAAACACTTATATGCTATCTAATATTCATTCTGAATTATGCACTAAAACATGCATAAATATATGCATATAAATACTGTAAACAGTAATGATGCTTAAATAGTATACCATTAGCTCCTTTGCAGTTGGCATTGTGTGAATCCATCGGGAAGTCTGGGTTTCCCTCTGTACAAGAACCAGAACTGAATTTAATGTGTAAACTTGCATTTCATTCTTTTCTTGATCTAAACTATCTAGTTTCTAGATATTTATACTAAAATAAACCTCTTTCAATCTGCAATATTAAACACATTTTCAAAACAAAACATCAAAATAATTCTTACCAGGATTACATTTTGAAGGGTCTTGATAGTAAGGATTATCTTTAGGGAAAAAATGTTCAAGGATTATTTTCACGGAATTTCACTGATGATAATGATTACAGATATTATAAACAATAATACAGTAAATATTATAAACTATACATGCAATTAATAATCACTCAATTATTTGAATATAGGGTGAATGCATGTAAATTTAGCCACTCTGGAGACTGAGATGACAGTCAAAAGTGCTGAATTCACCTTTCAATATATAATATAATATAATAAGATAAAGTATATAAATATAATATAAACTGGTCCACTTTTTGACATTGAAACACAAACAAATGTGCTCCAATTTACCTGAGCTCATCCTATATAATAATAATAATACTAACAATTATCATAATATTTACACATTAAATACCATGCATACAATAAAATCTGTAAATACATTATATAAGTACATTTATATAGGATAAATTTGTGTACATTTTGCCACTGAGATGACTGTCAAAAGAATCCCAATTTACCAGAATTTTCCGTATATAATAATAATACATAGAATAAATAAATAGCATAATTCATAAATCACCTGGCCCCTCTGCCTTGACTATGGCCTCAGGTGAGATGCAGACTCCTCGGTCGTACACGGGCAGCTCCTCACAGGCCAGACTCTCCGGCCACGTATGGTTGTACTTCTTCATGACCGGCTCGCAGCCGCACTTGGCCCGCTCGCACACGGACTTGCAGGGCTTGATGGGGTCGTGCTGGAAATCGATGGTGCATATGGGCGCGTACATGGCGCATAGGAAGAACAGCAGGTCCGGGCTGCACTGGGTGCCCAGGAGCCCTTCAAACTGCTCGATGGCGAGCACGGCGTTGGCCTGCGTGCTGTGATGAAGGTGGTTGGGCATCTTGGTCATGTTCCACGGCATGGACCTGCACATGGGGATGCGGATGGGCTCGCAGGACGCGGCCGAGGTGCCTCGGGGGATCTCCAGAAGACAGGCGATGGCCAGGACGCAGATGAACATCTCGTAGGAAAACATCTTTGTGTGTGTGTGTGTGTGTGGTAAAAAAAAAAAAACACACAATTGAGAGAAGCAGCTAGTTATGATTCACCAAAGACATGCGGAGATCTTCTGGAGAGCTGGAGACTCTTGCGCGTAAAAGCTTCCCAAAACAAAGTTTCTCAAACTAACTTCACCATACTGAAGTATTGCATCAAAAACAAGGATAAAGGAATCTCATCGTTTTAAACTCTTGCTGAAATGGAGGTGAAAAACCCCCACAATTCTCTCGTGGAAATGGTGACGCGCGAGATGAGTCGTTGGGTTCCTCTCTTCAGGAGCGCGCGCTGGTGAACTGATCTCTCCTCCAGCTCCTGCTGACAGAAAGCGACTGGAGGAGGAGGAATAAGAGGAGAGGAGGTGGGCTGGGGACAAGAAGAAGCCCACCTCCTCCTCCATCACTTCAGTCTCCTGTTGCGCCATCAAACATACGACTGTTGACTTACTGATGCCGTAAATTACTTTAGCCAAGATAAAAGCGATATTTGAACAAGTAAAATAGTACACAAATAGAGTTGTGGACATAAGGTGGTGTTAATTTAAAGGCAGACTTCTAATAAACATCGGGCTGTGTTTATTAGGGAACTACAATAAGGTAAAAGCAATTAGAACTCACACTTTGCATGTAGCCTACTTGTAGTCCATTTACAAAAGTACGTGACGTAGGCCTACGGCCTAATGAACTGATGTTTTCGCAAATTAGGCTATGTGAGCCATAGGAATGTTTGACATGATAAAATATGGAGACATTTCTAAAGCGCCTTATTGCTAATAAAATTGCATCATGATAAAAATATTAAGGGCACAAATTTAAGGATATTAAGGGCACAAATTTTCATTAAAATCTTATACATCCGTTTAATCAACTCGTTGGCTATACCCGAAGGCTAATTTGCCAAGGAATGTTTTTAGCAAAGCAGTGTTTGATTTCTGAGTACAATGAGTGTGTTGCTAATGTTTTGTGATTGTTTAACAATAATTTCGCGTTTTATAACAAAGTACACATTCATACCTCAGACATGATTTTTGAAAAATTCTACAGAAAAACTACAATTACCATAAGGATGTGAGTACATGATCAGACATTTATAGTCTTTACAAGTTTTTAGCAGCATCTCTGTATTGATGTTGCACAACAAGGTGTGAAAGAATCTTCAAGAAATGTTAATTTCCTCAAATCGAAAAACCAATTAGAAACTCGTGAGGGAACTCGTTGCGCGAAAGTACCCTGCTAATTCTCTTCTAGTTTTAGGATTGTAAAAGGCTCTATTAAGCAAATTATTTAAGTGATATATATCCACCAGAAGATATAACCCCTGACATAGTGTCGCTGTGCACCAAATATATCAATATGTTATGAGAGGGAGACATGACTCTAGAAAAGCTTTAAAAAATCGTTATGCAGAGCGCTTCATTAAAAAAAAAAATACTGTCATCACACCCGAGGAAATATGATTTTTCCCCCCTCAGCAGCAACAAAATAATTTGGTTTTATCTCTACGCCAAAAAGGGTCACATACAATTTAAATGTGAAGCTAAAAAGCCTAAACAAAAGGTGAAAACAAGTCCTTAAAAGTAAATATACAGCCTTTTAAAACATCTGCACAAACCATGTGCCCTTTGGCTCAGTTTATGTGAGAGGATTTAGATGAGCAGCCTGTGATCAAAGAATTTCAGCAATGTTCTTACAGCTCGGACAAAAACAGAATAGTAAAATGCTGTTTTTAGAAGCCATTTTTCATTTACCTGCATAACATGCCCAAATCACAGATGCAACCTGTTACAGGGTTCCCACATCAAGAAGAATTAGTTAAATAACTAATAAAAAATATGTGAATAGGTTCGACCTAATTATAAAAAGTATCGACTCAAAAGAACAATTTTCCTGATATTTCATGCATCAGAACCCTGCTGGCTGTAATTATGATCTAAAAAAACAACAACATTTATATCACTAAACAGCATTAAAGTGGACCAGTCAAACTGCATATGACCTGATGTTTATTCATGTTATGGAAGATACATTGTCATTTCCAAAAAATCCAAAACATATAAAACCAGTTAAGGGAGAGGAAGGGGAAACAACTGATAAACATTCAATAAATATGTAAGAATGTTTATTATAGCTCACAGACAGGTACAATGGAGTGTCAATGAAAGTTAGTTAAATTATACTATGCTTTGTACAAACAACACTAGGTTGCTTTTATAACATGTAGTTATGCACAATTCTGCCTTTTCAATCCAAATGAGATGTTATATCTATTAATTTGGCAAGTATGTCAAAGGAACACAAAGTGTAATGAAAATCAATGCAAATTCACAGGGAGGGAGAGAGAGAGAAAGCACGCAGTAACCCACACAGATTAGATCTAGAACAACATCAAAAAAAGAATCACTGTTTCATAGAGGCATCTGTCATCGTAACAAGCAATTTAGCATGATGTATGAGTTTTTAACAATTCACCCCTGCCCTCCCCCCACATCCCACCACACACAACTCACTATTTAATGTGTTTGTTTCCATGTTTAACCATTGTAAATTAAAACACAAACCAAAAAAAAAGAAGAAAAAAAAGGTAATTAGTGTCACTAGTCCCTGGGATCAAATTCGATTATTGTAAGTGGACAATAATCAAATAATTTTTTCCTTTTTCCCCCCTCTTAATTCAGTGTTATAAAAGATTTGATCCCATTAAAAGTCTTGAACTGGTAAGACTATAACATTGGAGAATCCTACAGAGGAATATGGAATGAGGGTTGAAGTATCCGCCCCTCGAGTGCTCTTCGCACAGGAAATCTTATGCGGAAGAAGACACAGACTGCTTGTATACGGCATGGTAGGCGTTCCGGAGCAGGACGTACGGGAAGCAGGATTCCAAGAGGTCCATGGTGAGGAATGGTGATTCTTGGACGATCTAGACAAAAACAATCACTTTCAGAACAGATCTCAGGGTGATTGGGATGTTCTGCTGAAACTGACACATGTGGGCTCAGTCTGATAAAAAAAACTCCTAGCTTTCCATTACAGCCTAATTCAGTGCATCCTGCAGATTACGCTTCAAAGGGTGAAGAATCCCACGGACAAATCCCACACAAGCCTTACAGATCAAAAGAGCTGCGTGACTCTCATATACAAACAACAGAAACAGTCCTTAGCACATTTTCATCAGATGCTTATGGACTAAAGATGGAAATATGGAGTGCAACAAAGTTGCTGCCCACTTTTTCTTTTTTTCCATAGGGATTTTAAAACATTCTTTAGTTCTAAGCCTTGAACCAAACCAATTCGCTGTGAGATCAATCATAATATTACAGCATTTGGTTCAAACCAACAAAGTATATGAAAACAAGTAAGACAAGACTGTACTTCATATCTTTTCTGAGGGAATGAACTACTTATCCCATAAAGCACTGCAATGTTACGATATAAAACTACCGACTTCAGTCAATTTACTGCAATTTTTTTCCATTTGAAATTGATATATATACATATATATATTTATATATACATACATGTTTTTGAAAAAAGCTGCTTATGGTCACCAAGGCTGCATTTATTTGATTAAAAATAATAATATTGTTACATATTATTAAAATCGTATTTTTTTAAATAAATTTTAAAATGTAATTTATTCCTGTGATGCAAAGCTGAATATTCAGCATCATTACTCCAGTCTTCAGTCAGTGTCACATGATCCTCCAGAAATCGTTCTAATATGCTGATTTGCTGCTCAAGAAACATTTATAAATATTTAGAAATATTTATTTATTTTATATTTCCTGGAAACTGAGATACATTTTTCCAGGATTCTTTGATGAATAGAAAAAACAGCATTTATTTGAAATACATTTTTCCCCCAAATGAATGTAGTTTGAAGTGTAGGGAAAACCGACTTAATCCCATCATTTGTCAGGCTGTGATTTCTGTTTAGTTGGTAACATAAATGGGTGCATTTGCAGAAAGCATCATTAGCCAACTATGGTCGCAAGTTCTGTCGTTACAAACAGTTCAACGATTTGCCATTTCTCAAAACCATAGTTCCAACGAACATTCCCAAACCGTGTTACTACAGTTCCAGGAAACAGTTGTGACTAGATGGTAAGTTTCTCCAACATCTTTGCATTTCTGCATCGTACTATGGTAGTTAATCAGCGAGTTACATCGGAGAGTGGAATTCACTTTAGGATTATGGCTAGTGTAATTCTTCACCATGAATTTGGCAATTAATTATTTTTTTTAATTACACAAGTATATATCATATATCATTGAAAACCACAGAAAGTCTGTCTTGAAAGATTAATACATGATCATTAAAAATGTATGTCTAGGGAGAAAATGAATTTCACTTCTGCACACCATCATGAAGCGCTCTCTCTTTAGGATTCACTCACCATGTCCAGAAGCAGGTAAACAGACTCCCTGTTCCGTGTAGTGGTTTTATCCGTCTCCTGTCCAATCTTCAGCAGGCTGGAGGAGGCGAGCTGGGGAAGAATTACAGGATTTTATTAAGCTGCAAAATCCCACAGTGAGAGTTGCATAAATGGAGTATTTACTGTTGATATGTTAATGTAAATTGTATGTTGTGGAGTAAAAGTATTGGAAGAGAAAAACCTTTAAGCCAGGATTTAGGACAATTACAGCTAATACTGTTACTTACGGCAAGGAACTCTTTCAGGCGATCCTCTATGCTGCCCTTGTGGATAGTGAACAGAGCAGCGGCAATCTGGTTTATCGCTTTAGCCAGACAGTGAATGTTGTTGCAGTGACCTTAAAAGATTTATAGAGAGTTAACACACACACGATAAATGTCATGCACATTAAAACGCGTCGTTCCAGCGGACCGCAGTTCAAACAGCACAGATATAATCTGATTTCATTCGCAGCGGTTCAGCGCGAGTCTGAAATGCAAAAATTGGTACCTTCTATTGCGGGACTGTACTGTGACATCACGTTGCTGGCCAGGGTCGGCATGGAAACGGCCACGAAGACCATCAACAGGCAGGCGATCTTGTATTCTTCCTCTGGGCTAATATTTTCTGTTACAAACGAGAAGAATTGAGTTCATGAATTTTCCTTAAGGTAACTCGGAGAAGTACTCATTGTGAGACAGCAGGGAAATTGCAGCGATTACATTTCTCTCTTTGGACAGTGTCTGAAAATCTGCGTGAAGAGCCAAGACAAACGGCACTAATGTCCAAAAATTAA